ACACTATTATGGGTTGTGCACCTTAGTCAAATAACGAGAACAAAACAATGAACCAGTGTCCAGGTAGGCTACTCTGATACGTTGGCCCAAATTTACTAACAAGAAGTCTTGATATAATGTAGAAAGTGTATTCTACAAACACCCAGCCAGCACATATACAGTGAATCCAAGCATACAGATCCTTGATAGAGTTACAAACTAGCACACTAAAATGACACAGTAACCAATCGCAGTCAGGTATTCTCCTGGTGGGGTCAACTGATCAGACCATGAAATACATCCAAAATAAAGATATTTATCAAGCGAGTTCTAGGGATCTAACATCCATAACATTTGATGGACCTGGAGATTTTTTAAAGTTCCATTCTAGATGAAGTGACCAGACCTTGTTGACGAAGCGTTTTAGATAGTGATAGAATGAATGTTTATTGTGATAGTTGATATTCAACTACTACTGAGTAGCTAATTTTGTCGATTTTTATTTGAAAAATCTTTTCACGTTGTTCATCAAACATTAGTAGGATGTAGTGAACGAGAACACAGGTATGGGCAACCGAATCGTATTTAACGAAAATTACAGAGTTACTCAGTAAAATAGGAAAACCATATCGTAAGTCGTTCATTTGCAAAATATCAGTTCATCATATCGAACTGGACTGTTCCTGTTGCAGAACATCAATCCATTGTCACTATTCATGCGTTTCCTACAAATTCCATTGTGTTCTTCTAACTCTTCCTGTTGTCGATCTTCCCCTATCTTCTGCTGCCAGACATTACGTTGACACGCACGTTATATACTACTTATCAGTAGCTCGCACCACACTCGTCCCCCCATTTAATAAGCTGTCGTCACTTTCAAAACAGGGATCCTGGTCAGTTAATATCACCTTCCGTATTCCGTAACACGCTACAATATGCCGGATTACTACTTTGGTCATTGTTCTTGCCCGCTGGTCTGGAATGGATACGGCATCTATCCAACGTGTAGCGTTTACTAGTTCCCGCTGCTGGGACACGGTGGCAGGCACACCCTCGATAAATTGCGACGCCAACAACTGTGTCCCCGACTCCCAATCCATACTCGGCAGCGTACGGCGCAGCAACATCGTGAGCTCCACAGCCAGCACCAACGGGTCACAATCAGCCGACAGCCTCGCCAACCGGAACATCTGCGGCGCCTCCTCCCAGTCCGCCGGGCTGTCGAACTCCGTCATCAGCCGCCCGGTGACCGTCTCCTACCCCGTCTTCCCGGTGGTACCGTCCAGGCTGCCGTATACCGCCTTCGCCTCACCTCCCCGCAGCGTCCTCAGCACCGCCAACTCCGCCCCGGGCCCCAATAGCTCCACCGTAACCTCAAACTCCTCCAGGGAGCTCCGCAAATCTCCGTCCTGCAACTCCTTCGGACACGGGAGCTCCTTCCTTCGAGCAGGCAGCGACACCAAATGTAGTGAACGAGAACACAGGTGAGGGCAACCGGATTGTATTTAATGAAAATTACAGAGTTACACAGTAAAATCGGAACACCATATCTTAAATCGTTAATTTGCAAAATATCAGTTCATCATATCGAACTGGACTGTTCCTGTTGCAAAACATCAATCCATTGTCACTATTCATGCGTTTCATACAAATTCCATTGTGTTCTATCTAACTCTTCCTTTTGTTGACCTTCCCCCATCTTCTGCTGCCAGACATTACGTTGACACGCATGTCATATACTACTTATCAGTAGCTCGCACCACAAGGATACTTAAGTAACTGTAAATTACAACTGATTCCAACAAGATAACCGTCGAAAACTACCAGACAAAGAATAAGTCTTTCTCAATATGTTGGGGATGTTAGATCCCCAGAAGTCGCTTGATAACTCTCTTTCTTTAGGATTTATCTCACGGGCTGATCAGTTGACTTTGAGATCACATTTCCCAATAGGAAAATACTTGACTGTGATTGGTCACTACTGTGTTATTCTACTGTGCTATTTTGTGACTCTATCAAGGACGTCTCTATGGTGTATAAATAAATGCCATCTGTATGCTTGGATTCACTGTGTATGTGCTGGCTGGGTGTTTGTAGAATACACTTTCTACATTATATCAAGACTTGTTGCTGGTACATTTGGGACAATCGGATCACAATAACCTACCTGGACGTTGGTTCACAATTTTGTTCTCGTTATTCGACTAAGGTGCGCAACCCATAATAGTGTTCAGTATACCTAGAGACGAGTGTAACAGCAACAAGGTGAACGTGTTAGTCTGAAAAATTTCCGAGTTAAGATGAAATTGTCGAATGATTCCTGTCTAATTTTCACTGTCTTTTTTTCAGTCTATTTCATTTAAGGCATAAATGGTTTAGATAATTTTTTAATGAAAAGGCAGAAGAATCTATCAATGATTATTTGAATAATGGTGCTTTTTAGTTGTTGATAAGACAAAGACTCTTGTAATTCAACTAAAATCACTATTCTTGTCTTAAAACCAAGAAAATGTTGGTCTAGCTCCTAGTTTAATCTAAAACTATCAAAGCTTCTTATTATTAGTTCACTGGTCGAGTGAGAGCTTATGGCGAACTGTCACTGGAATTCGTTACTTCAATTGGTGTGCGTCATGGATGTCCACTCTCTCCATTCTTGTTTAATTTTATCATAGACATGCTCTGAATTTTCAGGAGTAGATCTATTACCAGGAGGCTCGCTTATTGACTTAGAATATGCCGATGACATAATCCTACTTGGTGAAGACGCTGACAAAGTGCAGAATTTTCTGACTACCCTAAGCAACAATGCAAGCATGTTCGGGAGGCGGTTTTCCCCCTTGAAGTGCATAATTTTGCTTCAAGATTGGGTTGCATCGGCACCTGAACTAGTGATAGGGAGTGAAGTAGTCGAACGTGTTGATCACTTCTCTTATCTTGGGAGTCTCATCAGTGCCGATGGCCTGGTGACTGACGAAATCTCAGGTCGGATACAGAAGGCTCGATTGGCTTTTGCTAACCTGCGTCATTTATGGCGTAGGCGAGATATCCGTTTGCTGACTGAAGGACGACTGTACTGCGCAGCAGTTCGCTCGGTCTTACTTTATGGCTGTGAAACATGGCCAGTGAGAGTAGAAGATATTCGTACGTTACTGGTTTTCGATTATCAGTGTCTCCAAAGCATTGCTCGTATACCGTGGGACAACCGAGTAAGCAATGCTGTAGTTAATAAACGAGTTCTAGGTAGGGATGGCAAATCAGTAGATTAATTAGTGAAACTTTATCATTTGAGGAGTTTGGGATATGTGCTGCGTATGCCTAACCACCGACTGCCTCGAAGAGGTATGTTTTGCAGTGTAGGAGTAGATTGGAAGAAAACTATGGTCGACCAAACCAAAACATGGCACAAATCCATGAAGTCAGTGACAAGTGGACTGAGTCATGTTGGTAGATGTAGGCTACCTGGTTGGGGTCCGCGAGACGATAGTCACCGATGGTTAGAGACCTTGAATGACATGGCTCAGAATCGTTTGCAATGGCGCAAGTGCATCCACTCTTTGTGTTCTCTCAAATTCTAACCTTCTGAATTCCGCATAGTCTCTATCTTTCTCCTTCTAGATTTATCTCGAATCATATCTTCTCTCCATAGTCTTCTCCATTACTGCTAATACTTCTACTATCGCTATCACTCTTGGATTTGAACTGACAGTTACGTCTCTGTGTGCTAATGTCGTATGGCAACCTGAACTGATGTAGTTACGTACGAATTTCTGCGTTGTATCTGTCTGTCTGCTTCTTATGGCTATTAGCATGAGTTGGAAAATCAATTATACACTGACATAGTTGCACCACTACACTAATAAGAATCGAACTCATCATTGTATAATACTGACACTGACCATTCTTCCATAGATATGACACTGTAGTTAAGTAACTTTAATAAATTCAGTTTTTAATAAATTACTAATTAATCAAGGCTTAATTCTTAAAAGATATTTAACTATGACATAACATAATTTACACATTTTTGAAACCATGAATCGATCAATGTTGGACCACCATTAGAAACTTGGAATCACTGGATGGCCATTTCGTCCTGGTATGGGACTCCTCAGCAGTGCGCATCCACGACTCCTGCGGCTCTCAGGATTCGAACCCAGGACTTTCGGTATTGTGCGCGAACGCCTAACCATCGGACCACTGAGCCGGTATCTAATGATGTTAATATCTAACTTGATCAATTCACAAAGTTGCGCAACCTCATACACAGTCTTCGGTGAGCACTGCTTCACACCCGATCAGGTTGAACTTCACTGATTACGTCTTCCCACTAGAACTCGGAGAAGATTCCTCAGAGGAGCTAGTCACTAGTGAGCACAGATAACAATCTTTACAACCCCGTCATAACATAATAGTGTAGTTTAGATTGATATCATGTTTGGTGATGTATTTCGTTGGTATTTTTAGTGCTTCAATTTTTTTCAGCCTCTTGTTGACATATGTTCAATCGAAATTAATTTCTGAAGGATGCCTTTAGAAATAATCTACTCCTACCGTTTTATATAATTTCTATACTATCATCCATCATCCATGAACGATTAAAGCGATTTCAAGGTAAAACTACCATCTCCTAGTTCTAGTGAGAAAATGTGACCAGTAGAGTTCAACCCTGTCGGAAGTAGGCAGTAACTACCAAAGACTAATGGTTGAGGTCCAGTAAAATCCCTGGATTAATCACAGTTAGACATTAACACCGGTGGATGTCGGACAAGTGGTCCAGAGGTTAGGCGTTCGCTCACAAGTCTGAAGATCCTGGGTTCGGAATCCTGTAAATTGCATGGGTCGTGCATATGTACTGCTGATAAATCCCATACCATTACGGAAAGGGCCATCTCTCAGTGCTTCCAGGTTTCTATTGGTGGTAGTCTAACAATGATTCATCATTTTATGATTTCAAGGTATAACTAAGTTAAAACAGAATAACTAGTGTTGAATATTTTAAATTACAATCATTATGAACTTACATATTCTAATAGATCTGATGCTCTAGCTTCTAATTCTTGCATACGTTCCTCTATTCTACGAATAGCCTGTCCAGCTTCTTCACGTTCTATTTCATATCTTTGTAAACAATATTGAAGATGATCTAGCTGTCATTGAATGTGGCGATTTTTTGTGTTGTCGTCGAGAGATGTTGGTAAAAAAATTGAAAAAAAAACAGAAAAGAAATGATATAAACAGACAAATTTTTTTTTAAACAAAGAAATCCACTCTCTCTATTTGTTATGTCAGTGAATTTAGTTAGTGGACAAGTAAATTCAACCATTGAATTGGAATAAATATGTATAAACTTATTTAACCATAAAGAACCAAACTAGTGTATTTGGAATCATTAATCAATCATTGGTAAACCACCATTACAAAACCTCGAAGCACTGAGAGACGACCGTTTCGTCCTGATATGGGACTCATCAGAAGTGAGCATCCACGACTTCTGCACCTGGCAGGATTCGAACCAGGGACCTTCAGTCTTGCGACAGAATGCCTCACTCATTTGTCTTTGTTTTTTACTGCCTACACCCGATAAGGTTGAACTCCACTGGTCACCAGGACAAAACAGCCTTCTCTCTCAGTGCTTCCAGGTTTCTAATGGTGGTCTAACAATGATTAATTGATTGAAAACTAATGTATTTGAATTTTGCCAGAGTGAGAAATTCACCACATGAATGTTCATTACACTGAAGCTCTAGTTCAGAACCTTTTGCTGCTGCAAACAACAACAAAAATGTTATTATCCACTGATGGCAGCAATGTCAAAAAAGCACTCCACTGACGACGTACCGATGATGATGCTGAAGACTGAATAAACTTACTGAGATTGATATCAACAATAGTAAAGTAGTGTGAAACAACTCTTCAAAAGATTTCGAATGATTTGTCAAATTCATGCAACCTGATGCAAGAAAATCGGAATCAGCGTAGTATAAAGATATATACTGAACATTACTGAACATTTCCATCTATCCAGTGAGTGCTTAAAACACATAGACTTTTACCAGTCAGTCAGTCAGTCAGATACAACGTAGAACTTCGTACGTAAGTACATCAGTTCATGTCGTCATACCACATCAACACAGAGGTGTAATTGTCAATTCAAATCCAATAGTAGAAGAGGTAGTAAAGGTATTAGAAGTAATCGGAGAGGTTAGGAGTAGAAGATATTATTCAAGAAGTATGATTCAATGAGAAAAGTTTAGAAAGTCAAAGTTAGAGGTGTTGAAGAATCCAGAAGATTAGGATTTGAGAGAACACAAAGAACACAAATGCACCGGCGCCATTGCGAACGATTTTGTGTGGGTTTTCGACCAATTTGGTCTCTCGTGCTGTTATGGGTATGAGGGCAGTTGTCATTTCCCGACTACCCACACCGTGGAAGGTTGTTTCTTGAGGGACCTGAAAAGGAAAATAGATTAGTGTTGGTGCGTGACCGCAGAGCCCAACGGACAACTGCTTGAGGCCGGTCACGCACGGCCTTTTTATGAAACGTTTTTTGAGGATTAGCTCCGTTCTTAAAGGCCCTTAGTGGGCACCCTTGCCACCGGAGACGGAAATCCGTGAGGTAAGGGATGTGTGACATTTTTGGGGTCGACCTTTTCTAACCCTTCCTTCCTTGTGAGAAGGCAGCATCACTGCAGATGCTGGTTGTCCGAGGGAAACACCTTACTGCTGTCACACCCCTCTGCAGTCAGCAGTATGACTTCGCCCTCAGACTTTGAGTAGCTGCTTTTAGTCTCATCGTTCTCCAATCGACCTGCCTGGCATGGTAGAACCTTCAGGAACATATGATCCAGCCAGTATAGCTCGATGGGCAAGCCCGACCACCACGTCAAGGTAGCAGCTACGGTCGGGATAGACTTTTACCAATCAAGTTTCATTGTAAATTATTAATTTGTATGGCGCAACACCACATACGACGATATGGTTTAAAGTTGAATGGAATGAAAGCAGTTGACTGCAAACTCATATCTCCATTTTTTTGGTCAGCTAACAACACTCAACATCAAGTTATATCTAGAATCTTATAGGAACATGTGCTTTTTATGCTACTAATAATCCCATTTATAAGTAGTTACTAGTTTTTTAAGTGTCCGTTTTATTTATTCACAGCTGTCACATTCCCTTACGCAAATCATACAATATAAACCAATTAACGTCAGCAATACAATGCAACATTCTCTAACCAAAGTATAATAATGAAATCTCAACCCATATATTGACACGAACCATAAAACGATGCGTAATGCCTTGCTTGTAGAGTGGTTTCTGCCCCAAGGATCAACACCGTGTGACATCAGTTACTCAAATAATAATCTGATAATGATAACCCCCATCTTGGTGTATTTCAAGTTTACTTTACCCTGCCTAACAATTTTTTTTCCATACTGATCGTTAGTTTTATTTACGCAACAAAAAAAAAAAGAATAGTAACTATGCCAATGAGTCATCCGGTGGTTGCCGTGGTAATAAAATAAAAGAAACAGAACGGTTTGTTTGATGGCGGCGGCATACACATAATTCATTCCTGTTGAAGAAATGGTATTTCGTTGTATGGGTGGGTATATTGCATTACTATTACTATTACTATTACTATTACTATTCTCACACACACACACCTACTTGTATAAGTTTTAAGTAGAGATGCAGTGAAAAGACTAAATATTGGACAGTATCATTTCACTGAAATAAATTACACTTAATATAATCTACTTTAGTTCATTGGCACTGATTTATTTCACTTAAACAAAAGAGAAAATGATACACAGTTAGTTGATCTTGTTTTCGAAATGTAACATATATATTTCCACTTCATCGGCATCAATGTTATTTGGCGAATGACATTTTATGCAAAATTCCTAGTTTACTATTTATTAAACGAACTGTTCTACTCTTTCACACAATTAACAGTGTTGGTTGAATAGTCTGATTAACTGAAAATGTAAAATGAAATTACCCAGATCGTAATTTGAAAAGGTTGTAATATCAGCAGTACACAGAATGTTATTGCGTTAAGATGGCATTTTTAGAAAGTAAATTACACATTGGCGTTATTATAGTCAGTCAGTCAGTCGCAACGTAAGAACTTCGTACATATGTACATAAGTTCATGTTGTCATACAACATTAGCACAGAGACTCAAATGTCAAATCAAATCCCATAGTGATAAAGATAGTAGTGCTATTAATGTTAATAAAGAAGACTAGGGTTCGAAGATATCATTCAAGAAATATAATTCAGTGAGATAAGGTTAGAAAGTCAAAGGTAAAGGTGCTGACGAATCCAGAAGATTAGGATTTGACAGAGCACAACGAATGGATACACTTGCGCCATTGCAAACGATTTTGAGCCATGTCGTTTAAGGTCTCTAACCATTAGTGACTATCGTCTCTCAGACCCCAACCAGGTAGCCTGCATCTACCAACATGACTCAGTCCACTTGTCAGTGACTTCATGGATTTCTGCTATGTTTTGGTCTGGCCGCCCCTAGCTTTCTAAACTATTAATCATTAATCACGTGTTTATGCTATCAATGTTCTTTGTTTTGAAATTTATTCTAGAATGCAGTGAGTCAACTATAGCTATCTATCTATCTATCTTTCTTCCAACCTACTCCTACACCACAAAACATAGCTCGTCGAAGCAGTCGGTGGTTAGCCATACGTAACACATGTCCTGCGTTATTGTATAGTAGAGTGGCATAAAACAGAGATTGTAATCATGAAAACTTGATGAGAGTAGTAGATAATCAGTTTGATGCATAGGCTAAGACTAGTTGGTCATACAGCTAGCTTAGTACTACTGTCTATCACATCAGTTGTATTTTGTCATTGAGTTATATCATTCAAACAATTTGACTGTTTGTCCTCGCAATATTTTATTGACCAAACTTATCATCAAAACAGACAGCTAAATCATCATACTATATGAACGACGTGTACATTTTTCTATGACATATTTGTTCACGTAATACAATCGGTTATAAGTTTTAGATTAAAGATTGTTGCTACTTTTATTCATATGTAGCGATGTGAATAACAGAATTAAAATCATATTGGACATTGATAGAAAAGTTCATTTTTAAAATATGTCATTTTAAAAGTATTCTTTTTTTTTCTATCATGTGCAAAATTATTTGAATGACTTGTGGTAAATAAACAAACTGAAGAGAAACACTATAAGGTATGAATGAGAGAGTAATTCGTAGATTAGAGTAGGTAAAAAAAATTATAGCGTACTTAACACATAGTGAAAGAATTCATTATTCAGATACTTGAAGCATATTACTTAGTAACATTGATGATAAAAATATGTACTAATTTCATTGATTCCTTAAATGACCTTCATATGTGCTTTCCATGCATCCTATTGGTAGATAGCAGATATGAGTCATTCATTGATTTCTAGAGCTAGAACTTGAATTTCGAGTTTAAAATTTCAAGTTACATTTACGGTTAGGATTTACAATTTAGCGTGGAAACTTTTGATTTGAATCGAAGATTTAGAAATGGATCTATGCATTATTTTGCTAGTATGCTAATGTGCTAATTGTAAATACCAACTCCTAAATATGAACCGTAATTTTTAAACCAAACACCCTATTCCTAAAACAAAATTCAGATCGTCTACTTCAAATTTAGGTATGAAATAACAATCTCTTTTTAGATCACATTATCTACATTTGATAGACAATAGTTTATTGTTATCTATGCTTTGTGCATTTGAAGTGAACCTTTCGTTCCTGTCAGGCCAGCTCATCTAATTCAACAATACTGACTTATACACTTAGAAAAACAATAACTAACACATCACTTAGAGCGTAACCTACATTTCCAAACCAGTTCGAACTTATCAGTGTAAGGTTGTGGAGACTGTTGAGTTTCATTATAAATCACAATCCGATCAATGATATTAGACTACTATGGCGAACTCGGTAGTGCTAGACATTCGTCTCGTCTCAGTATGGGACCACTGAATGATACAATGGTTGGTCGTTTGCTTGCGAGACCAAATGTACAGGTTTTGATTCTTGTGTGTAGGCTTGTGGATGTGCATTTCTGAGGATTCTCATACTAAGATGAAGCGACTGTCTAGT